AACACACACACACACACACACACACACACACACACACACACACACATATATATATATATATATATATATATATATATATATATATATATATGTGTGTGTGTGTGTGTGTGTGTGTGTGTGTGTGTGTGTGTGTGTGTGTATAAAAACACGCACACATACACGGACCCACTCGCGCGCGCGAGCGCGCGCACACACACACACACACACACACACACACACACACACACACACACACACACACACACACACACACATACACACATACATACACACACACACACACACACACACACACACACACACACACACACACACACACACACACACACACACACACACACACACACACACATACACACACACACACACACACACACATATATATATATATATATATATATATATATATATATATATATATATATATATATATTGAACATATGTTGTAGTTTCGGTGCCATAGTTTTGTATTAGCCCAGCTATCGTTAACAATTTCAACAGTGATAAGAACCAAATTCAAAACAAATACTATACCTTTATGGAAACCTAATTAGATTTAGATGAGTCTTAATAAGCATAAAATCATTAATTGTTTCTTTAATGGATGAAATATTTAACAGAAGCAACAACAACAACATTTGGCTTTGACCCAGCTCCCATTGACAACAATCCAACTTCGAATCGCAGCCCAAGAAAAGGAGCAGTTGTGCGAAATCCATTTGTTAGATTCATTTTCACGGAGGAGAGGCCTTGACAGTTATTGTTCGATGCAGAAGGCGAACAGGTATCTACGGCAGTGCCAGCGCCCGTGCCAGAAGCTATAATACCCCGCCGTGTTGGCCCGGGGCCCACTCGGGGAGGCATGTCAGGGGTAAGTCGCGTGCCGAAGGGGAGATGATTCGGTCCTTCCGCATCTATCGTGCTCGAAAGGTCTCTTGGACTGATAACTAGCTCATGTCCCACGTGTCAGGATGATTGTATTTGGTGAAGTGTGAATCCTGCAGGTGGCAGCAGTTAAGAAATGTTGGAATATTTCACTAACCGCCGTGGTGTCAGGTGCCGCCGAGATATGAAAAGTTACTAATTTTGGTAATTCTTTACACGCATTCGCCAGAGAAAGCCCCTAGGGCCACGTCACAAAATTTATTTAGAAATCTAAATGGCCATGTCAAGGAGTGCCCTTCTGGCACTGCCTAAGATGGGGCCTCTGCCCCCCACCACCCACTGAGAAACATTGTCCTCACCTTAGGATGCACAGTAAGAGCTGAAACTCTGGAGGACTAAATGGACTCAGACTGTGAGAAGTCCCTTCCTCGTTCTTTTTTTCCTTTATTTGTGACATGTTTGTATCTGCAGATTATTTCTCGTACTGACGACTGCATCTTTTAGTCCCGAACAAGAATACGAGTTTCATGTTTATCACTATACATAAGAGTGCAGTGCAAAATTAGAAGAAAGCATACATGGATAGCCATAAACATCTTCAACTCATTTCTGCTTGGAAAATGCTTTGCTCATGTTTTGATTTTGTGTGAAATGTCTCTGCACATAGATGGCTCTGCTAGTGCTTAGCCACAAAAGAGTCAGTTAGTAGACCTTGTGACCTTACCTGATTTCACCTTTCCTTGCATTAGCTGGAAAAATATTTATCTACTAAAGTTAGGTATGTTGATGGTGTTAATTTTACTATAGACTTTATAATTACTATAATGTTGCAGACATTAGTAACAGCAATATAAGATAACTTAAAATATTTTTGAAAATCAAGGAAAAGGGTAAATAGGCAAAACAGGCAGCACTCACAATTGGCTGATTGGTGACTTAGTACAAGTGTGGTCATCTATGTGTGAAAAGATTAACCCCTTGGTGCTGGGTGACGCCGATCGGCGTGCAAACAAACCGCTCAAAAGCTGGCGTGCAGCCAAACGAGCCGGCGGCGAGCCAGTGTTTCGGGCTGATGTCCCCTAATTCACATGCGCTCAAAGTCGGCGCGTCGCCTTTGTTTGCTTAAGCATAGTTTTTTTTTTTTTTTTGTTTTGTACACCCGGCGCCATTGGGCATGAATGTAAACGTACAGTGGGCATGGCATGTAAAAAAAAAAGTATAAGTATCTACAAGTTGATCATTCAAGAAATTTTGTTAACCTTGTCACTGGCTTGCACACAAATAAAATGGAACGGAAGTGGAGGGATGCTAAAAGGGCATTCCGCAGTTTGGCCGCCAGAAACATTTTGTTTGGTTATTTAGCCTGCATCATGATCCTGATGCATTTCCTGGAGCCAGACAAGCATTTCCACCAGTTCTTGTTAGCAGCAGCTAAACTTTATCCCTCCTCCGTTAAAGGTAAACAAGGTCGGCGACTAGAATGGTATATTGTTTAGAAATTATTTGATTGAGACCATGGGCTAGGTGGAGGTCATGAATAGAACTTTGTAATTAGAATGTATTGTATTGTAAGAGGTCTATGGGGGTCCATGTTGGGTGATGTTAGTTTTAAAAG